AAAGTTTCTTTCATTGGAAGATTGCTTTAAAAAGAGAGTAATACCCTAATTTTAGGTGAATAATATAAAATGACCCATTTAGCTTATAAATCTTTATTTGAAAGTAGGTACTTCTTTGTACTTTAGCTGGAAATGTTCTTTGTAACACTTAGCTGGAAATAATTGTCCTGGAAATTATTTGCTTCTGAGTTGATATAACCAGGTAAAAACCAGGCAGTTTCCATCAACTTGAGCATAATTCATGTGACTCTATGGACATGTCCGTATGATTTTCTTGTTAGCATTAAGGAAGTTGTTTGCCAATGCCTTCTTCCTGGTTTTATTTTTTTTTACTTCCCAATCTAGTCTAGAGTCCTGGATTCTCAGATGATCATCTATGCAAGTGCTAACCATTCCCAACTTTGCTTAATTTCTAAAATCAACCAAGATCATCTAAGACTAAGTGCTGCTGCTTGTTGAGTCAATCTGATGCACACATATAGTCTATAGGGCAACTTTTAATTAGGAACGCCATTCTAATTTTAGTAAGTTCTAAATTATTATTTAATCAGAACAAAAATACTTCAAATTATATATTTGTAAGGTATAATTTTAGTTGAACTTTATCTACCTACTAAATCTACCTTGGTTTTGGAAAATAAGTATAACCCAAAGTATATGTTTCATAAACCTAAAAATGATTCTTTCATTGAGAAGTTCACTTCAGTACAGACCAGTGGTGAAATGTAAAATTTGTTACTACCGGTTCTGTGGGCGTGGCTTGGTGGTGGTGGGGATAATGTGACAAGTGGAGTGGCCAACTTTTTTTTTAACTTTTAAAATCATTTTTTCTACAACCTCTTTGGCCGAAGAGGTTGTAGAAAAAATGCTTTTAAAAGCCTCTGATGATCCCAGCTGAGCCACATGATCATCAGAGGCTTTTTTTAAACTTTTAAAAGCATTTTTTCGCCGAAGAGGTTGTAGAAAAAATGCTTTTAAAAATAAAAAAAAGGCCTCTGATGATCACGCGGCTCAGCTGGGCATGGGGGGGGGGCAAGGATTTTTGCTACCAGTTCTCCGAACCACACACCGCCATCACTACCGGATCAGGCGATCCGGTCTGAACTGGGAGCATTTCACCCCTGGTACAGACTGTTACGCTCTCATATATCTGGAGCACTATAGCAAAATCAGTTAAATAGGAATTCTATTGCCATACAGAAGTAAGAGCCATTGAATTCACTTAGATTCGATGGGATTTATTTCTAAGTAAACATATATAAGGTTGCATTATTAGCTTAATAGAACACCTGCATTCATAACCTCAATAATCTATCAACAAGATTTTGCACTAAAGTTTAATCCTTTAATATCCTGATTATTCCAGCACAAAGGATTATAAGAAAACTTGTGTACAGTCAGTAAATGGGGAAGGCATGTATTAGCATTCCATTGTGTAGAATATAAAATTTATATATTGCTATTCATCAACAGCTGTCAGGATAGCTAATGAACTGTGAAATAACAGTAAAACCAAAAATTATGCTTGGCCATTGTAACAAATAAATAAAAGCATTCTAGTTATTAAAAACACATTAAAAGTCAATGAAAACAGCAAGAACAGAAAAAACCAATCCAGTTTACTTGCTAAAAAGCTGAAGCAATTGTAAGACGTAGGAGTCCTGCCAAGGAAAATTGTTTTCCTCTCTCACTTCTTCCTATGCAGACCTGCCAAAACAATAGTAGAACCTGAATATATCAGTATCATCTCATTCACTTGCCAGAACATGGAGCAGCCATATAAATTACTATGATCCTTCAGTAGATTTGATGATTAGTTTTGTCCTTGGATGTGTGGGAAAGGAACAATGCTGAAGCTGCACTGTGCTGCATTTCAACACTGATATTTAGATATCTAGATCCCAAACAGGTAACTAAACATACTGGTGATGAAAGAAAGGGAAGGAACTGGAACGATTCATCAAATTGTGCATGAACACAGCTTTGTTTCCGAAAGAAAAAACAAACAATAGACAATTTCCAGTTGCACTCTGATGACAAGACCATTAACATTAAGAACCATGTAGATTAAGAAATCTACAAACTAGAGTTGTATTATTTATTACACAGAGAACATTCACTTCCATGGACCATTGATGTTGATCATTACTGAATGTGCAGAAAATATTGAAGCCATTTCCTCCCAATGAAGCAGTGTATTTTCAGCGTAAGAAAGCTTTATTTTGTGATGTGCCATTTAGAATCAAAATAGATTTCATCACATCTGATGTGTGTGTGTGTGTGTGTGTGTGTGTGTGTGTGTGTGTGTGTGTAAAACTGGAAATGTTTTAAAGCAGAGAACTGATAGTCTGGCTGTGGCTAGACGCAAGACAGCCAAATACTGATCAAGCCTTTCCACACAAAAGCACTACTAATGCATCTCTGTTCCACCCTGTAACATTCTTGCTATTCCAGCAAAGGGTGTGGCCAGCTATAAGGCAGGCAGGTATGAGCTTCCCCTATTTATTGACTGACAAGATTTCTAGCTTCTGCTTTTTCAATGCTCCTGTTATCCCTCTCTCAAACTCTCTCCATCCAAGCAACATTTTGCTCTTGCTTGTTCTGAATAATATGATTGTCAGCAACATAAACACTGTAGGATCACTAAAATACTAATGGTGCATTGAAGGTAATTATAATATCGAGCTCTTAAGGCAAAAGTAGGTCAATGAAATGCAACTGATGCCCTGCAGGTATGAGGCCAGCCTTTCTTAAATGTGCCCTCCAGATACGTAGGCTTCAATTCTCATAAACTCCCCAAATGAATGTTGCTATTTCTGTGTTGATGATTCCAACCTTGATCCTACCTGAAAGTAAGATGCTGTAGTTCTTTCCCCCATTCTATGGTCTTAATCCAGACTGAGCTATCGATGTCTTGGAACATAAAAGCTTTGAAGGATTAAATCAAAGGTCTATCATGTCTAATGTTCTGTTTATGCAGGGGCCAACTTTTAAGATAATCACAATTTGGCTATATCTCCTCAAGATCCTCAGCAGCTAATATTAATATTTTATATTGAAATTAATATTTAATGTCATAAGTACATCAACTGACAATATTTGTTTCCCTGAAATCCACTTTTATTTGTACACAGAAAAATGAATTTCTCCCTGATTGTGTATAACCAAAATGTGGGGAAGATGTTTAAAACTCAGTTTCCTATGTGTTCTAATCCACAATTGATCAGCTGTATCTCTTTTATAAGATGCTGGCCTGTGGCCATAATAAAAATTGATTGATTGATTGATATATTTTATAAGATTTTTATACAATTGCTGCCATTGTCTTGAATCCCATCAAACCATCTAGGTACAGTATGCATACAGTAAATCAGGAAAAGAGTTCTTGTGGGAACTTTTTAGAACTTTTAACATTTTGAGAAGCCTGGCAATATCTTTATTTGAGCTTCCTCCTCTTTCTTCTTCGTGCAGCACAATTATGTTGAAAATTGAAGTCAGTAGCTTAGTGAACAAGTATGTGTGTGAATTTTCCAAATACTGAAATTACTCTTGAAATAATCTTCTAAGACTAATGTTATTGTTTGAATTAAACAATGGTGATGATTCCACTATTGGAAGACCTAAAGAACCAGATTGAAGACTGATCAGAATGGAGAATTATGTCAAAAATCAGCTTCCTTCGTTGGCAGATTCCCACATTGAAGAAACAGGGCATATATGACATTTGCTGTGGACATTATATAAACTAGCGTCTGCCAAACATATTGAGAAGTTATATCCTGGGAGTTGTTGTCAGGCAAACACTTAGTTAGAAAGAGTTGGTACCCTATAGATATATTGGTGTCTAAAATTTTGTTGATGAATCTCATTAATGTGTGGAAGAGGAAAGTGTGCACACAAACTGTGTTTTCTGTCCTTAATTCTCATTGTGCATTTGAAATATACGTTAAAATGTGCTGGTTCAAATATTAGCTTGGGCTGCCTTTCTGCAAACGGTTATACTTGCATGTTGCGGCCCCAGATTAGGGTATCTGCGAGTCTGCACATTTGCTTTAAATATTATATTCCATTTTGACATCTGAAATGACAACTGTAATAAGACTTACCTGGAAAGTACTGTGGGAAACTTAGTCAAGAATCTTTTCCTAAGTCAATAGTAAATGACATTCCTAACATGTACTGGATCTTGTATAGGGAAAAAAATGAGAAAAAGAATTAGTGTAGACTTATAGTAGTCATGATATAGATATATTCTGTGTCAATATATGGGATGTTTAACATGGGATGTGCCAGAAACTTCATTTGTGGAATTACACAAATATGAAATTACATTGCTATTGTAGTGAAATTCACTGGTAGCAAAGGAAATTATTCTGACATTAATACTACAACTCCATTAGCTAAAATATTTGTAATTCCACTAGCTAAAATTATTTCCCTTCCTTTGTTAAACAGCTTATGACTACTAAACTCATTATTGAACTATATTGCAATACTCTTCATATATGCAAAAGTGGTTCACATTTTAGGGCAGGAAGTCAGTCAGCAGCTACCCTAAATATTACACTTTATTTCAGAGAAAATTTCTTAGACTGCCAAAGTTGCAGAATGGAGGACTCTCAGCAGGAGGAGCACACAGATATTCTGCATCTTAACAGGAGACAATTCCCAACACAAATATTGCTGACAGAATGATGTGTTGATCAAAGCTGCATTATTAACATCTTTCTCAAGACATTCCTTAAATTGGTCAGAGGAGCGAACTGTAAATTTCTCCAGTTCCCCCTATGTGCAGAAGAAAAACTCCAGAAGAATTAAAAAAAAAAAAAAAAAGGGGGGGGGGAGACAGGGAAGTAGCCGGAAGAAATGGGGCTAAAAAGAAGGCAGGGAGGAAGATATTTCCTTAGTATGCTTTTTTTCTTTTTTTCTTTTTTGTATAATTCTATACTACAGTGCTGCCTAACTATTCCCAGGTAACTCTCCATCCTCTTTGCCTGCAGATGTATTAACAAAAGACGGAACAGAGCAGCTCGGCGTTAGAGGAGCTCCAATCAGACAAGATGATGCCTCCCCCGCTCCAATGCAAAGCCGGGCGGGCATTGCTACTGCCCAGGGCAAAGAGAAGTAATCGCCGCTTTACTTCTAGCCAAGGTTTCCGCGGGAGGTCGCGGCTGGCTTCCTCGCTCCTCCTCCTCCTCCTCCTCCTACACCCCCTCAGGCTTCTACTGGTAAAGCGGACCCCGCTGCCGTTCCAGGGGATCCCACCCTCGCCTGAGCGGTGCAGTCATATGGAACTTCACATTTGAACGAGCGCCAAACCCCTGGGACTATATAAAGGCGCTCCTCAGGCACTGAGCGGCACTTGGAGAAGAAGTGGCCGCAGAAGCACCCACATTCCAAGAGGTCTGCGCGATTGCTCTGGCCATGCTTGCTGCCGCTCTGCACCTCCCGAGTTTTCTGCTCGCCTGCGCGCTCCTGAAGAGCAGCGTGGCATTCAAAAACGATGCAACTGAGATCCTTTATACTCACGTTGTCAAAACTGTCCCGGCAGGCAGCCACAACAACACCATGAATCAAGCGAGGCACGGAGGCAGGCAGGCAGGATTCGATCGGAGCAGTAAGTATTATATATGTGTGTATTCAGATGTAGTATCTTTCCTTTTTAAAAGCAGGGGTGTTTCAGCCCGATATGCTCACTAAGATCCTGCAGTGAAGAATAATAAGCACGACCTTTTCTGATTTCCCGTCAGGCAGACCGAGGATCAGCTTAGCCATAGGTACAAGCGTTTACCTTTGATTCACTCCTCAAGTGAAACCCAAGTCCTAATTCGGACTGCGAGATCAGTTGTGCCACTGCCACCCTGAGAAAAGAGTATCTTTATTCAAGGTTAACTCTGCCTCTTCCAAAATATAAGCATAAGGGGCAACTTGAGGCTACTGTACGTCTGTGTCTTTAGTTTAGAAATACAAGCGCTGGGCGCTTTTTGAGGCAATTATTTGTCTCTAGCTACTTCATAAAGCTAACATTTACCTTCAGGCACAGGGCTTTGATTTTGTTCCATTGCCCCCCTTTATTATTTTTTTAAAATCCTGATTTAGTACTTGCATCAATGAGACCTCTATATGAATCCTTGTTAACCTGAGGGAGTTTAAAATGTTTGACCTTCAGCTCCCAGAATCCCCAGCCCACTTAAACTTGCCAAAGTTGAGAAACACTGATATAGAAGTGTAAACAAGCAGGTATGCAAACATCTTGGCTCCAACCTGCCTTTAAAAATGTATGCATGTATATATTTAAAGCTTTTATATAGCCGTCAATCGTCAACCAACTTTGGGCAGCTAAAAGTATTTTCTCCCCACCCCCAAAGGCCCAGCATCTTGTTTGGTTCTTGCTTGGGGAGAAGTATAAGCAACCAGAAATTCTTTTGTCTGTCTTGAGCCTCATCCTAGTTCTAAAAATATAAAAGGAACATGCTATGAATACCCTGATCTTTAAAGGAAATAGTTTCATTTTTTAGTGACAGAAAGGCTTAACTACTTTTTTTAGGAAAGGTGACTGGAAGATACAGGAACTATCATGTCAATGCAACATTACTGAAATAGCTCAGTAGTTATTCACTGTCAGTAAACTGTCCCAGGAATAATAATAATAAAAAAAATACTAGGAAAGCTTATCATGGAGGCAGATATTCAAAAGAACATAGTGTTGGAGCAGAATTCTTCAGGAAGTAGTTTGAAATCCTCTGAAAATATCAAGTTGGTACCTTCTTGAAAACTAGTTACTGTATCTGTTGCCTCATTTTGTCCAGTAGTGGTCCATGCATCTCTGGCTCAAGAGAAAAATGTTAAATCTAGTCAAGTCATGTTCGCACTTTATGTAAATCCAGTGAATACCTAAGTTTTATTTCAGTAGGTTTTATATAGAATTTCCACACTGAATGTACCTCAACATACACATGCGGATTCTCAAGGAATGATATTGATAGAAAAATCTAATTACATAAGGACTCAATTTCAACAACTTCTAAAAATAAATTTTGCATTTTTGATTTGCTTATTTTTTTCCTCACATATAAACATAGGCGTTCTGAAGGCTGGTGACCTCTTAAGTGTGCTACATATTAACATTAACATCCCAATGTTAGCAGATCCAGGAATTTAGAGTTGTAGTTCAGTACATCAGGAAAGTTCATATCATAAGATAATTACAAAACATTGTTTCCATGATAACATTTACATAGACTGAAAGATGGGTGATGAAATTCATGGTGTGCGTTCCTTTCAAAGGGATAATTATGAAAATAAGGACCGGGCTTGCTTCTATGAGGATATATACAGAGTGAAGCAGGCAGAGACATGTCTGCATTTGCTGCTATTTCAGCACCTTAGTACAATGTCTGTTGCCTTTAAAAAACTAAATAACATTGCCTCAGGTTGTGCAGGGATACTCAATTCTTAAGAGAAATATTTGGAAACCGTGGTGTAATTCTATAACACTGCACTCTAAAGAAAGTGCTATATATTAACCAAGAACATGTACAAAGAATATTGAATTATAAGAATTGTTCTCAAAAATAGAATCAAGTTTATAGATGACATGCAAGCTTTTAATTATTATGATTAGGTTCATTTCAATATAATGTATTAAACTAAATTGACATTCAGGATAAGCTCAGAGAAAATTTAAAACTAATATCTTGGAGAAAATCCATCTTGAACTGAGATTCAGGACTATTTTCTATAGTCCTGAAAAGCAAGCAGATGAAAGGGAATCTTACAACATGAAGTTATTTCTGATAGCATCAGTAGCTAAGGCAGTACTAATAGCAACCACCTTAGCTTGAGAGAAAACTACATATATTTATATATTGTTTCTGTGGGATGGTTTCCTTCAGTCTCAGAAATTCAGATTAGGACTGGAGTGCAAGCAGAACTCAATAAAATCTTATTGAGGTCTTATTGGGTTATTAAAATATACCCTACCCTCGTATGCTCCGCAATAAGATGGGGTTCAAATTTCAAGTATTAGATAAATGCATACCCAGAAGACTCCAAAATCTAATAGACTTATCTCATATATAAGGAAAACATGAATATGCACATTCATCCATGACATTCAGAAATCCCTTTTGATTGTAGTAACAGATTGGAATTAGCATCCTTATCTACCCTGCCATTCTTCCAAAATATACATAGTGTAATATGAGATGTTTGATTTATGTTCAGCACCCAGTTTGAATTCCTTTCTCTAGAAAAATGATGCTGAAGGTACAGCAGAGCTGTCCAATATGTGTGCATTGTGATATGTGATGTGAGAAATCATAGATTATGCTCCAAGTTCTTTTTTAACTGAAGTATCTTGCAATAAGAATGATTAAGAAGAAAACAGCATAAAGACATTGAAAGTGGAATCGATCTCTTCTGAGATCTACACAGTAATCTAGGGTGGAGCTAACTGTAATACCATATGAATGACTTTCAATAAACATTGATGCTATGTCTGATGCTATCTCCGATACAAAACTTCAAGGGTTTGTTTTGTATTTGATAGGTCGAGTTCAAGTTGGCTGTCGGGAACTGAGATCAACAAAATATATTTCAGATGGTCAATGTACTAGCATAAACCCTTTGAAAGAGTTAGTATGTGCTGGGGAATGCCTTCCTTTGCCAGTGCTACCTAACTGGATTGGAGGAGGTTATGGATCCAAGTACTGGAGCAGAAGAAGTTCACAGGAATGGAGATGTGTCAATGACAAAACTCGCACCCAAAGGATTCAGCTGCAGTGTCAAGATGGAAGCACAAGAACCTACAAAGTAACTGTGGTTACAGCTTGTAAGTGTAAACGATACACAAGACAACACAATGAATCAAGTCATAACTTTGAAGGAGCAACTCAAGCCAAGCCAAACCAACATCATAAAGAAAGAAAAAAGAACAGCAAAACCACGAAGCAGTCTCCAAGTTAAGAACTTAATGTACGTGGAGTGTGCATGTGTGTATGTGTATACACACAATACACACACACACACACACACACACACACACACACACAACCCCCCCCCTTATTAATGACTCTCTGTTTTACAAATGTCACTACCTAACAAAACCCATCTTATGTTGTGGTTGCTTCTTCAATGAGTATATATACATTTGTGGCTTTGACCAAACTCAGAAGGACATTCTTTTCTGAAGGATTTTTTAGAGGTGACCCTTCTTATTTTAAAACTGGCCTATAAGCCTACAGTTTATTGGTTTATATATGCATAACTAAATAAAGGAAATGAATATTTTGCCATGGGAAGTCAAATATTTTATACTGCAGACAGCAACTACTCTGAATTTTTCAAAGGCACTTTCTAGATCACATATTTTATTGGCAGCAAGGACATATTATTTAAAATAAATGTTTTAATTAGATTCATTAGAGTGAAATTAAAACATTTATTTTAAACAAGATGTCAGTTGGCTGAAATTATTTCCCCCCATATGGTATAACTAAATGAACAAATTGCTCAACAAAAAGAAAAAAATATAAAGCAGGAAAAAATGAAATTTGAATAAAACTTATTTATTTGACATTGTAATTATTTAATGATTTTAATGTGCTTTCTATTTTTTAAGATGGCTGTCTGATATCTTTTCCATTCTTTCAAGCATCAAAATATTTTACGATTATAAAATTTATGATTTGTTACCAAATTAGAATATATATTTGTAGATAATATAAATAGATATTTTAACCTTTATACTTTTTCTTTAAAAAGAAACACAGTTTAAGTAAGACATTTTAAAATGCTTTGTAAATACTTTATAAAATACATTTTTTGCAGTCCAAAGATTGACTTATCAATTTTATCCATTTTAATTAAAAAATTCCAATAACAATGCCTTTCATTTTCTCTGATGTAATAAAATAAGTGGTATGATAGTATGTTATATACTATAGCAACAGAGCACATGCAAAATTCATTCTCTGGTAATGCAAAGCCAATGTACTGAGCTTGTAACCAATTACTTGATTCATACAACGATCTGGCAATAAATGTTCTTGTATCCGTCCTACATCAAGAGACTTAGGTAGTATGAAAAATGAGTATTGCCCAACAGAGAAAATTATCTTGAAATAATTTTCAAAAATTATTCACTTCACACTTCACTTTTTTTGAGATGATGTCCTCAGTGGTAGGGAAAATACATTAAGGGAGCTACTTCAATGGCCTTCCGTTCATATACCCATACATAGATGGAAGACAATTGTGCTGGCATTGGCATAACAGCAAATGAATTGAAATGATTCATGGAATGACTGCATGGCCTTAAATCTGACATTCACTAACTGTACTCATTGGAACTGAACTCAAGCACTCCTGTTTAAAATAAAATTATTTTGTCCTAGTATCAAGGTTAAAGTGAGAGAGTCAAGAGAAAGACTGATAATGAATAGTAATCCAGTAATCACTAACTACTGGTTAACTAAGGATTGCTATACCATTTGGAATCTTCAACCTGTTGACAATACAAAACAGTAATGTAGTCCTGTTTATTCCAATACATTTTTGCACCATTCACTACATACACTAAGATTCATGCCTGCACTAAATTTTTAAAAAGGAACACTGCCATTTCCACAGCTGCAAAACAGTTGTGCATCTTAGTTATGATTACCAAAATGACTTGTATCTTAAACAATTATTCTCTGTACAGAGAGTTCTCACCTTACAACCATTTAATGACCAAAGTTACAATGGAAAAAAAATAGTTATTTCTGTTTTTCACACTTATGACTGTTGAAGCATCCCCACGGTCACTTAATCAAAATTCAGATGCTTGGCAACTGGCATAGACTTTGATATTTGCAGTGTCCCAAGGTCATGTGATCATCTTATGTGACCTGACGAGCAAAATCAGTTGGGAAATTAGATTCACTTAACAAATGTATTACTAAATTAAGAACTGCAGTGATTCACTTAAGAACTGTGGCAAGAAAGGTTGTAAAATGGGGGCACTTAACAAATTGAAATTTTGGGCACAGTTGTGGCCATGGGTTATGGACTATCTGTAATCCCATTTTTAATAGATTACAAATAGGATATTTTTACCCATTTAACTGGACCATTCTTAAACCCTGTAATTTAACAATGTTTTTTGAGTTTGTGTTTTACCTTAATTTTCCAAATAAAATATTTTTTTTAAAAAAGGAATTGGCTAAAATATCTCTTTGAACTATAAATTTGTCAATAATGTTTAACATAAAAAATATCCAGGCAATTGCTTTGACTTCAAAAAAGTCATGTAATTCTTAATAGGTAATAGTTTAATTAATAGTTCAAGCAATTTATTGTTTATTATTTCTGTCACTGCCCAGTATTTTGTTATTGAGCTTTTCCTTTAGTAAATGAAGTAGTAACTACAATTTCTTGTAGAGAGAGAATATGGTGGATAATCTCTGTTTATCAGAGGTTAACTATAATCAGCTCTTTGTGGTAATTCAGACAACAAATCAAATTCATGAATATTAACACTACCTTCACTGTAAGGTTGCAATAATGGAATCCTGGAAGTTTGAAAATATTTCTCTCCTCTATTGCCTTTATTTTCAAAGAATTAGGTAGGTTTTTTCTATGAGCTCAGATATCTTTTGTCTAATTATAGTCTAGCCTGAGGCTCCTCCTTATCCTAGTTCCCAAGGTTATTCTCACAGTCCCTTACAACTGTACTATTGGTAGTGGTGTTGTAATTTCCTTCTACATAATACTTGGAAAAAAGGAGCAAAAAGTGACAACCTTCAAGCAACTTTGCAATAGGTGGGATGTAATCAAATGACTGATCCCCATTTCACCGAGTCATGTGTTACCATGTATACCTGCTGATATATTTGGATAATCACACTGGGTCAATCACATTGTTTGAACATAGACACCATGTCACATGAAAGAGCACCATATTGTGTTAGGAATAGGAAATGAGCCAATAGCGAAAAAGAAAGGTGAATAAATTGTGATTAAATATCTAAAAGGGCATTACTTGCTCACTTGCATAGTCTGGATCCAACATAGCATTTCTGTTCTTGATTTAATCTTGTGCTTGACCTCTGAGCTTGGCACAGTACAGAATTATTTATGTCAAGAATGAGTGACTTTACCTTCTGAACCTCAGCTATGTTCTGATTAAAGTATAACGAGCATTTAAAAAGACATCTTGACATATAAACTATATTACCTACTGTAAAATAATAGCTTTCATTTGATATACTTTTCATTTGCTGAATAAAATATCTGGAATATTTGAATGGGTGGTGGTTTCATAATGTTAACAGATCTGTCTGCAGTAATAAAGAGTCATAATTAAGCTGCTGTGTGGTTTTAGAATAGAAAATGTACCTTGAAAACTATTAGTTACATTTAAGGATAGGAATCTTGTTAAAAATCCAGTATTTTAGGATTAGGAACTAAAGCTGAAAGAACAATGTTATTAGTAATTATAAGTAAACTTTTAGTAAACTGTTGTTTGTTGATAAAAAATGTCCTCTGCTAAGTATTAAAAAAAAAATAAAGAAATGTATTCTTCTGTGGTACAGAAGTTAATTTGATAGCACCATGAAATACAAATATACAGTGATTTGAACAGATATATTAGGAAGGCATGCAAGTATTCTTCATGTATTTTGTTGCAACAAAAAATAGGAGTTTTGTTTTCTTCTGTTCTGCTTTGTCTCCTTAAAATAATAATAATCCTATTGACAAAAATCACATCTAAATTCCTTCATTTTCAATGATCTAGTAATCTTGAAATGTCAAACCAAGTTCAGTAAAGGTAGTAGAATAATGCTGACTTTTTAAATAATGCCCTTGGAAATACCTAAAACGTTTCTGCTTCATAAATAACTATCATCTCTCTAAACTCGATCTTTGAATCCTTCCTTAAAAAGTGCCATATTAATCATGTGTGAGTTCAACACATTCCACTCTGGAATTTTTGTGGCTAATGTGCTAACTTGGAGGGTTTAGAGAACTCAGAAAATTGGTGAGTGCTGAAAAACATTCTCTTTTCATGATGCATTTCCTTTCCTGCAGGCCAGGCAAGAAAGCTTTGATTTTAATTTTACTGACATACTTATAAATGTAGCTTCAGGTTAAAACTTAAATTTGTCTGCAGATTTATGAGCCAGGTAGACATTCTGTCACAGGGCTTCTTCCTTTTGCTTCAGCATTATTTGTATATTATAAACCTGCCTGAGTGTTTTCCTGATAGACAGCCAATTTTTCAAATAATTTCATATTTCTACTTTGCTTTGTAGCCCAACCATCCTCATTACATCAGAAAGCACCCATTCTATGCAGATTTACCAGGGAGTTATTCATTCATTCATTCATTCATTCATTCATTCATTCATTCATTCATTCAAATTTATTTGCCACTGAACTCTGTGTATAGTAAACTCCATGAAACACAGTGGGTCTTAACTTTTTGAGAAAAAAAGTACAATAGGAATGCATTGCCCATCTCTTCTTCTTTCCTAAATTCAAATGTATTTCCTATTTAACGTATATAAATGCAAAACTATATTTTCAATAACTAAAGAATTACCTTGAATACATAATGCCAAGTACAAATAGCATTTTATAAATGTGCCCTCTTCAATCCTGCCCTCAATTTGCTATTAACATGTTTTCAAAATAGAAATAGATAAACACAAGCCAGTATGGCTTGCATTGTTATTAAAATGCTGTTATGCTTCTCACTTTCCAGTTTCTAAAATGAAAAGCAAAGGATATCCAGAATTTGGAAGATATCATCGTGAAATATACAATGTAATTGGGGGTACCTACTGTATGCATATTGAATGCATGCACATTTCACACTATAAATCTGAATTCATAGCACTGAGTTGTATGTCCTAGACGTAACAAGTACAAATAAATTGTTTCACAAATTATTCACATATCTGTCAAAGGTCATAAGCTGAATCCTGTGTTATGTGTGGTGCATCCCGAGACACTTGCAGATGCTACTGCAAATTTTTACTTCAAAAAGCATTGTTTCCAAATCACTAGTACTTGGTGCAATTAGGACCTATGTAAAGTTCAGATTTTATTTATTTATTTATTGGTTCAATTTATATGCTGCTCTTCTCCGGAGACTCAGGGCGGCTTACAATGCGTTAAGCAATAGCCTTCATACTTTTGTATATACCTGCTTAGTAGGGCTTTCTCCCCCCCCCCAAAGCGGTGTTCTTTTTTTATACAAAGTCAGCTTATTGCCCCCACAAACCGGGTCCTCATTTTACCTACCTCGAAAGGATGGAAGGCTGACTCAACCTTGAGCCTGGTGAGATTTGAACTTGCAGTAATTGCAGGTAGCTGGTGCTATTTAACAGCACTTTAGTCTGCTGTGCCACCAAGGCTCTTAGAATTTTAGAACAGATTTTAGAACAGAATCAAGCTTTAAGGAAAGATTTACCCCAAGAACGCTTTAAGGATTAAAGTTTAGACTTAGCATTCGTGTATACCTACAGTTGTGTATCATTTGCAGTAACTCATTGTATTAAAATATGTTATCAGAAAGCTCCATTGTTATTCAGTGTAATAATGTGTAAAACAACTCGTTTTTTTTTCCCTCTGTCCTTGCTTGTATTAGTATATTATTGTAGATAATAGTTTATATTTGTGCAGCAACTATTTATGTTCTGATACTCCCACAAAACTAGAGATGTCCGCATGGGATAGGGATGAGCAAAAATCAAGATGGCTACTATTAACAGTGCACCAAAGCCCTTCTTTTAGGGAAAGGCATGCTGGGATGAGAGTTTCATTACAGGGATAGAGCTTTGATTTCAGCAACTGCCTTGATGTTCCTGATGAAGTTACTGTTTTTTCCTTTTAATAGAAATATTTTCTAATAATAAATATATGAAAGTGATAGAAAAACACAGAAAGTTGACAAATTAATGCATAGTCATTTGAATGTCTCAAAATTAAGAAAGCATAATTGAATGCTACAAACTTATATCTAAAACCATTTTTCTTCTAAAGATAATGTTATGTTCATTTTGGGCCTTTGAGTCTCTTATTGGTCATAACACTTCAACAATATTTTGACACACAAAATATCTACTGAGAACAATGGAGATTGTGGGAAAACACATAGAAAACTCATGGTTACGAATAAAAGGATTACCCCGAACACAAACAAAGATGACAGTACAAATACTTCTGCAGTTTACAAACCCCTTTTTCCATACACCTTTGCTCTGTCTGGAGAAAGATTGATATGAAAAAAAAGTACAATCTACCAATGATGGTAATGTACATGATACAAGATATAATGAACACCTGTTTCAGATCATTTATTTTTAAAAAACTCCACATACGGTTATGTGGTGGTAAATGAGCTGGAGCTATATATACATCCATTCACTGTGGTGGTTGCTTGGTCACAAACCTGAATTAAAACATCTTATTTACTTATTAAATTTCTTCACCACTCATCTTGCCTAAGTGATTCTTAGGAAATCAGAGACTGATTTGGTAAATTAGTATCAAACATACCTATATTTGTTAATATTACTTATCTAAACTGTATCATAGCAATAGCCAACATTTGGACTCTGCTTGAGGAAAAAAATGCTAGGAAGAAAATAAAAATAAAAATGGGAAAGGAAAAAATGAAAGAAAAAGAGAATTTAAAAAGTACTTTAGTGACAATGGGGAAGTCAAGTATTCACATAATGTAAACCAAGCTGCAATGTCATTTAATATGTCCCCTCAATTTGAACCAGTATTTTACAATAACCAGAAAACTAAACTGCAAATTTGCTTTGAAATGCTGTTTGAAGAACTGGAAAATACCATGTCTGGGGGTGGGGAGGGGCGGAGGTGGGAGAGAACTTTATAACAAATGGAATATTAATTAATTGCAATAGCACTACTTAGACTTATATACCACTTTACAGCCTTCTTTACAGAGTCAATTCTCTGGTGAGAATTGAACTGCTGAACTGCTAGCAGCCGGCAGTCAGCAGAAGTAGCCTGCAGTAAATTTAAGTACGAAGCTTGCGGGGAAAAAAGCTTTAATATTTATTTTGATATTGTATCTTTGGAAAGTTAATGGTATTTTGCTCATTGGATAAAAGCTGCCACATTTTGTACCAATTACTGGTAAGAAGATATGTTTCTGCTTACAATCAGAGGAATTTAGTAAAATTCATGCTTTTCTAACTAGATGCTATTTTAAGTTTATCATAAATCAGGAATTCACAAACACAATCCACATTAATTACCTAATTTTGTGATGTTATTTGATAAGAATTGTTGTAGCAATTTATCTTTTTTCTTTTAACCTTTTACTTTTGTTGTCATACATAGATTCTAATGCTGTTGAATTTTTGGCCAGTATATAATAATATTTTTTCATTTGCTAGAATAAATTATGTTCAACAAACGAAGTAGAGATATATTATACCTGGCTTTTTCCACATACGTCTCTTCCAACATCTAAATATTTTCAAAGTATCTCCAAGAAATGATGTAGTTACATTCACTAAGGCTTGCTCATGGTTGTCACTGAAGTAGTTTTTTAAAATGCCTCTTTTTATCTTCTTCCTTATCCTTTTCTCTGTCTTTTTCAATTCTTCCTTCATCTTTTAACTTTTTTTCTTCCTAGTGTTTGTCCTGCAGTATAAGGTCCAAATGCTGATCCATTAGTTGTGACAAGAACTTACCAACACTGATGTTATGGATTGACAGAAAGTGACTGGCCCAAAGTCATCCAACCAGCTTTCATGCCTAAAGTGGGACTAGAACTCTCTGTATCCCGGTTTCTAGTCTGGTGCCTTAACCCCAAAGTTGTTTTCATTCCCGCTGCCTCTTTTTTTAAAAAAAATATTAAATCCGTGGCTGAATACACCACTAGTTACGGTTATTTTAGGATTCACTCCATTTATTTACACTAATTTTGTAAAACTTTCTTGTTTTTCAATATAGAAGAAATCAATCTATTGTGTAGGAGCCACAACATGTATAGGAAATTATTCTGGCCACAACAGCAAAACTGTGCTAATAAAACAAATGGAAAGTGAATAAAACATAAAAATTCTACCACAATTTCTAAAATCTAAACAGCTGCTCATAAACAATATAAAGATGTATATGTAAGTGTGCCAGCTTATAACTATTGTCTTTCCAGAGGAAAAACTGCAAAGCTTGGAAGTGGGCATGTAGAGTGCTTTAGAAGTATTATCTGTGCTCAAAAAAAATGTCCCCTAAGTTCTGAGGAAATACTAAGGTCAGTTACAGGCAACATGATATCACAGGCACCAATCTACCAGCAGACACCTTTCATGGTGCCCATCAGAATCTGCCTTGCCCATTTTTAATTTTTCAAAACTTTTTAATTAAGAAAAATAGAAAGCATAAAAATCACTATATTCTAAAGTCGATGTTAGCATTCTTAAGCTTTCAAGAGGATATCAAGTATTCTCAGAAGAATAAATACTAAACATATGCATAGATTACTTGCACCTACGATAGTCTGTATTTATAGAAAACATGGTTTAATGTATACTTCATGGCAGAGAATACAGAAGTTAATATTTAAGATAAGATTCTGTGACAAAAGGAGAGAATGGAAATCTCTCTGAACCTGTTGGGTTTCTAAAAGCCTTTTTCTAATCAACACACCATATATGCATGAATAAAAACATTTGAAAGGTACATCAATCCAATCAGATAAAAAGCAGGCACAGTCTGAACCCAGCAGCGAGACTGGAAGCTTTTGCTTCTCCAATCAATGGCTTTTCATCTGACTAGGAATACTAACGCGTGCGCAGTAGGTAAAACAGCTTTTTTCCACTTCTCTTCCGCCCGTTCTTAGGCTTCCCTTCCACTTCCGAAAGGTTCCTTAAAGGGCCAGCAAAGCTTTAAAGAAACGATTTAAAAATGGAGACTAAAATCAATTGTCCCATGAGAATGTGGAGTGATTAAAACGGGGAACTCTTGCGATTCACAGAAAGACTGGGTTTCAAACCCAAGGCAAAGCAATTAAGCGTAGCCTGCTGCAAGTCATTTTTGAGGGGCAAGCACGTAATGGAGCCGCCGGGGGCTGGAGTCGGAAAAGCCGGTGACTTAGAAGAGGCAGGTGAGACCGGACCCTGCCAGCGATCTCCGCCAGTATCTGTAGCAGCGGTTCTACCTGCCGGAGGAAGCGGGGAAAGGCTGGGTGGCAGCACCCCGAAGCAGTTTTGTCCCATGCTGGGGAGGCCGCTCATTAGCTATACCGTGCGGGCGATAGAAAGGTAAAACTATGCTGTTGCTGCATCCTTCCGTCCCAAACACACCTGTATCACTCAGCATCCCATTCCCATGTGCTTGTGAGAGGAAAAGATGCGTGACGGGCCAGGTGCTTGCAAGGGCTGTTCCGTTCTACGCATGCGCGCAAAGGGGAGCGGTGCATAGCGAGTTTTGCAAAGCTCATGATATCACTAAGAGCAGCTTGGCCCAGAAGCATTGGAAGCTTCTGCCTAAGGAAAAGGTTAAGGATGGAATTCACGTGTGCAGCTCTGAACTTCTCATCGTTACCTAAAGCGAGAGTGTGTGCTTTCTGAGTAATAAGGTTCATTGAACGATTTGGATGTATTCATATTCATTCTCTCTCTCTCTCTCTCTCTCTCTCTCTCTCCCCCCCCCCCCCCCCCATGCATATTTTCTAGTCAATATTGCTTACTTCCTAAGACTGACAGAGTGAATAGCCTAAGATCATTCAGTTCTCTTTGAGTCTAAGAATGTGAGTTCTTAGGTTTCTGAGTTGGTGCATTAACCACATCAGTGTTTCTCAACCTTGGTAACTTGATGTCTGGACTTCAACTCCCAGAATAGCCCAGCAATCCCCATGAATTGATGTATGACCTTCGCCATATGCACTTCTGTATTCTGGACCCTGAATGGTCTTTTAAAGATCACCTGTATCAATAAAGCAGAGACAGCAATTCACATACACACACCTACAAAACGACAACAGGTAGCATTTTAAAATCTAGGGGTATATATCTCAACATATGTTTAATGGTAAGGTTACTTCAGCTGTGTAGTTTGATGTTAGACTTAGACTTAGAATAACTATTGTTACTTTGAAAGTACACTATTTGGCATACCTTAAAATAAAATTTAGTTGCATACAGGTGTCAAAGGCTCACCATTTCCAATATACATTACACAGACATGACAAATAATAATAAATACAAAATTATGTATATACCTACATATATGACATGGAGAAACAAGAGAGTCTAGTTCGGATGTATACATGTACATGGTGAGAAAAACGAATCTTGCAATGTTTGGAATAATTTTAGAATAAATTGTTTAATTTATTGTGTTGGGTAACAGCCAGGATAATTATTTTTATTGGTACACTGTAATTAGAGCTAGGTTTCCTTGAGTTCTGGTTATATTTGTTTCAATAATTAGCTTTAGAATTAATTTTTAGATATCCATATAGTGTTGGTCTTTATTTTATGTGAGGGTAATCTGCTTACATTTTAAGGTATAAAAATTGTATTGGCATTAGAATGCAGTTTGGATTATGATGGGCTCCCATAAAGTCTGGGCTTACATTTAATGCAATGATAGGCTTTTGGAGTAGGTTTTCAGTAGCAGTGGACCTACATTTGTGTTATGTCGGAAGAAATTACTTGAGTTGTTATTAGTCTTCATGATTCCTTGCCAAGGTAAATTTTAAAGTAAGAATACTAAGGTAACCTTTACTGTAAAACACTTGACATTAATGTAAAAATTAAGCTTAGGTAGGTTTTCTTGAAGTCCAAGATTATATTATGGTTAGTGGTAGTGTTATATTCGGCTGTGAAAGTTGGACCATAAGAAAGGCTGAGCGCCAAAGAATTGAGGCCTTTGAACTATGATGCTGGAGAAGATTCCTGCAAGTCCCTTGGATTGCAAGGCAATCAAACCGGTCAGTCCTAGAGGAGATCAACCCTGAATGCTCTTTAGAAGGCCAGATCCTGAAGATGAAACTCAAATACTTTGGCCACCTAATGAGAAGGAAGGACTCACTGGAAAGAACCTAATGCTGAGAAAGATTAAGGGCAAAAGAAGAAAGGGACAACAGAGAATGAGGTGGCTGGATGGAGTCACTGAAGCAGTAGGCATAAGCTTAAATGGACTCCAGAGGATGGTAGAGGACAGGAAGGTATGGAGGAACATTGTCCATGGAGTCGTGATGGGTTGGATGACTTCGCAATTAACAACAGCAACAAGTGTTATATACATGTTATAAATTGGGGATTGTCTGCTGGATTAACTTTTACATTAAAAATCTCTATTAGTAGTGATTTAGTTTGACATAATTATTAGTTTTAATTGATCTTTTATGATAGAAGTATGTTGGGGAATTTTTGAATCAATTGTTTAACCATTCAGGGAACGGTAGGGTTAGGATTTGACTTCTTTGAGGTCTAAAGTTTAGTCTGGTATCAGATTACTTTTGGATGAGTTTTTAGGTTAGTATAATCTTAGTTATGATATAACGATGAAGACTGATTGGTGAACTGAATTTTTTTCTCATTTTCACTGGTTCTATTTTAATTGGACTTTTGAGAACATTTAAATGCTGGTGCTGATTTTCTGGATTATTTTTACAAGAACATCCTATTTAAAATTTAGTCAATTTACACTTAGCTTAATAGTGCAATTAGGCAATTGGTTTTATTCATATTAAAATGTATTTGTAAAACAAGTTGAAAAAAGTTCCTTTATTCCATTTAACAACAACAACAAAACATTTGGCACTTTTCTATAAAAGAAGAAGGCATTTGTGTAGAATTAAGAACAATATATATGCTGAGCAGAATAACTAATTTTCATAAAATTAATAAATAATGATCAGTCAAAGAAACATAATAAACATCTTCACATCTGTTCTTTGAGACGCTCTCTACACCAATATACTGAATAATCATTTCATGTGGAGGAAATAAGAATTGGTTTTGATTAGCTAGAAGTTAAGGTGATCAATCCAAATGATTAGGGTATTATTTATTTATTTTATATTTATTATTTTTATCCTGTTGTTATTTGTGTATTTTGCTTGTTTATCAATCTCATTTTTGTTTTAATCAATCTCATTTAGCTCTTACTTTGTGAAAGTTATATTTGGAGCCTGATGTCTTCAAAAGGACTGCCAATTCATTTTTGGAAGAATTTTTATGAAGCTGGAAATAGTTTAACTGTAATTATTCACTTCAAAATTATACGTAGTTTGATGATTTTTTTATATTGATTGTATTTTCTTCTCTTTGGTTTCTGAATATAGAGTTATAATATTAAATTTTTATTTTATTATATACTGTTACTGTGTTTCCCCCAAAATAAGACATGTCCCGATAATAAGCCCAATTGAGCTTTTGAGCACACGTGCTATAATAAGCCCCCCTGAAAATAAGCCCCCCCAACTTATACACATGCGCAGCTGCCGTGGAAACAGCATGAGGTGAGGAGGCGAGATGGGGGTGAACGGTGGAGGAACATGCCCCACACGCACCTGCCATCCACCCGGAACGGCCTCGTGGAGGCCGCTTCCACAAACTGTACTTTCCCTGGAGCTGAAGCAGAGAACAAAAGGATGGGTGGGAAGAGTTTAAAAGAGAGAATCCAAAGAACCAATGCTGGTTCTCAAGTTGCACACTGCTGGGTGGGGGGAGGAAAGGGGAGCAGGAGAAGAAGCGCTGGCTTCGATTGCAAAAGCCACGGACTGGCTCGATTGCCTTCCTCTTGAAGAGCCTGCAGGGCAAACAGGAGATCTGGAGTTTGGGCGAGTGGCAGAATTCTCATTTCTCTGCCTCCCCATCCTCCCCACCTGCCATTCCCCATCTCAAGCCTGATTCAGGGAGCTGAACATGCTGCTGCCTCCCAGGAGGAGAAGAATGCCAGAAATGGGCTCTCTCGCAGTGCCACCTCTCTCTCTTCTCCCGAGTGGCAGTGATGCATCTGATTCACCAAATGTGGCCTGCTGATCTTGGGCGGCAGCGGCTCTGACCTGATCCTCGCTGGCAATGCTGTGGGCAAGAACTGGTCATGCGGATCCCACTTCATGGCTGCTCAGACAGCCTGCAGTAGCCACTGCTCAGAGTTTTGGCGCCAGTACCCCTACCCCCAGTCAACAGGCCTAGGGCTGGCAAGAGTTTGTTTGCGGCCGCTCTTTGTGGCCGCCACTAAGAGAAGGGGTGCGCAAGCTATGGTTTGCAGGAGTGACCTCTGCAAGGCCATTGTGGGTGGATGGCAGGTGCTCATGGGGCATGTTCTCCCACTGTTCGCCTCGCCTCCTTATCTCGTGCTGCTTGCACAGGAAGCAAATTAAAAGCTGAATGATTGCTGGAGGCAGCGGCCTGAGCAGCACCGGCAAAGCAGCTGGTCGGCGCTCCGGCACCAGTCCCCCTGCAGCGATGTTTAAGGGCTTCCTGCACCTGAACAAATAATAAGACTCCCCCCTCCCCCAGGTAATAAGGCCAAGGCCATATTTCAAAAGAAATATGGTCAAAAGAAAATAAGATCCTGTCTTATTTTCGGGGAAACACAGTAGGAGTTCCAAATCCCTGTGCTATAGTTTTGTTTTCAATCCCTTTCTATGCCTGCAGGGGATGAAAAAAGACATTAAAACATAGGATCTGACATTTCCTCAGCCTTTTTGTTATACCTTTTTGATATGTACATGATCCACTCAACTGCAGACTTCAGTAAAAATGTTGTGGCATTTTATCATCTGTTCCATGCAGTTCTTTAATTAAGCTTCAGGTTTGTTATGTATTTTGATTTTGAGAATTTGTCATAGCTGTATTTTTAAGTTTTCTGTAAAACCATATGGGTTAATCCAAACTAATAGATGATTTGAAGTAAAAAAAAAAAACCAGGATAATTATGGAACTTCATATTTAATGGACCATGCCTGGTGAAGAAAAATGGAAGAATTTCTAAATGAAGTTTCTTGTTGTGCATGTTGAACAAAATAGCCTGGTTCTGGAAAAAAAACCTAAAATCTTTTATATATTTTGTGTGATGGAATTGTGGGAAACAAAATGGTTTGTGTTTGTTCCAAGCATATAATTGAAAGAACAAGCATGAAATAATATTGGCTTGGGACAACAAATAATTTATTTTTCTGCAGTGCATTAGTGAGTCATTATGTTAGTACTACATCCAGCACTGCACTCATTGAACTAAATCTTGCTCAATTTCATTTAATTTAGATCAAGATCTGCAGATTTTTAAATTAATAAGCTCTTTT